TCTGCTCTAGAAGTATGTTTTACAGAGTCTTCTGCACAAAATTTTCACCACTTTTTGGAAACTACCATAAATTTATGGAGACGCACCATAAAAAGCTACAGTAAATTTCCTTTTTTATTCCACTTGTCCCGCAGTGAGAAAACTCACAGTTCCATAAAACATCACAAAGGTAGACCTTGGTAAAAATGCGACTAAAACTGCCACTGGATACAAATTGAGAAAAATTAAAACAAACAAACAAAAAAAACGATTGAACTGAGGTTTGAACTCAGTGACCCTCATGGTCTCCGCTCAAGACCAAATACTGTTGCACAGGAAACCCAGCTGGATTATTCAAAAGCCCAGCAGTAACACCAACAATCAACAAGAAGCCAGCTACTTCAAAACTTTGTGACAGCCCCATATAGATCTGCTATAAACAGTTAACTATCAGACATTCTTTACATACCTGATGCCATCCCAATCTACACTAAGATCCCATGCAGTGCCAAAGATATTGAACGACTTGGAAAAGCAGTCATTGTATATAAGGCCAGTATAGACAGCGAATAGTCCCATCAACAAGACAATATAGCGACCATCAAAAATGGTCTCAAACATCTGAAAGAGAAAATTAAATTGTTTTGTAGGCTGTAGACAAGATAACAGAAGTCAGAGGAGTAGAAGGTATTAAACTGAAAGGTCAGAGACGTACATATATTTCTACAGTACCGATCAGAAGAAACCTAACAGGGAACGCGTTTGCGAACGGGAACGGAACGGATACAGAACGGGTACGAGAACGCGAACAGAACAGGAATGGAACAGGTACAGAATGGGTACAGAACGGGTACAGAACCGATACAGAACGGATACCGAACGGAAATGGAACGGATACGGAACGTTCACGAATCACAAAAATGTAAAAAAAGCGTTCACCACAATGCAAACTACATGTATAAGAGAACACGTTCTTCAGAACACATGCTAGCAATTAAGTTACGCCATGAGAGTGCTTACCAAGGATTTGGACACGATGTAACTTTAAATAAACGTTCGTCCAATTTTTGTTCAGCCCGGCGATCTTGAGAAAATGACAGAGCGGATCATCTTGTGTCTTTTTTTATTTCTTTTTGCAAGCACTAAGCAAGCATTTCCCCTGCATCTTCTGGTCCATTTCGTGTTCATCGCAGCCATTTTGTTATTGTCAACAAGCTCAAGTTATGTCCAAATAAGGAAATGGATGGATGAGTCGAGTTAGACTGGGATTGAAAGGTTTCCTCAAGAAGAGAAACAAAACAACAACATCGATATTTTGGATGATCTTTATTTACGGCGTTGTTCACCAACTTTGCGGAAGGATCGGTGAGGTTAATGTTCAATCTTAATTAACTGAGCATTCGCCTGTGAAAATAACATCAGTAAAAAGTATCACAAAATGTTCGCTTCGGCTTTTTGTCAGTACTTTGC